TCAGAGGTTCTAAAGCCCTTTGACAAAGAACGATTCCAGGCGGTGCCCATAGTGAGAGCTCCCCTGCGGCTGAGCCCGCTCGCTGGGCCACTGGCATTTCCAAGAGTGAGTATGCCATGGGCCCAGTAAACTTGCGCATAAGTACTTGTAGTCATACAGTGTGCACAGTGCACAGAGATAGTTTGCATGAGGGCAACAGTCACTGCACGAGATTATATCAAACGGGCCCTTGCCAATGAATACATGACTTGCGATGCTGTGGGTGGCCAGCCTCAAGTCACTCCTAAATGCTTGAGAGTTGGACATGCATATGGTTGATGAAACATGTCGAGAACACGTTGAAGCTACTGCACTGACTCAGGCATGATCATGTATATGCCACTGCACCTTTACTATGGTACCTCCTGTTTAGATCAGGGTACAGGATCCCCTGGGGGGCCAATGGGCACTCAAAACCAGACATGGAAGTACCGCACGCATATCCATACTTCAAAACATTGTGGATTTACCTGGGTACGCGTGTGGTCAACCAACGGGGCCGTGATGCGCTGTCATGGAGTAGTCCCTGTGACCGTGATATGGCCTGTTTAGGCAGGTCGGGTGGTTTAGACGCCGGAGAGAAGAAATCCCGCGCGTTCACGGACTTATGCAAGGCGCTGTAAGGCGTTCATTATATTTTGGACTACGGAGTACAGGAACCGAATACCGGCACAATTAAGCAGCGTAAAAGCACATGTACTTCGGGACGGAAGCGCACATTCGTGAACCTGAACAGAGAGCAGTCAGTCAAACGTATGGTATGCCAGATGGGACGCAGATCAGGTACTCGATGCATATCAACAAGCTCCCGAGCCCCCCTCCACTTTGTACACTTGGGAGAGTTTGGTGTAGGCCCGAGAGCGTTCGTGTCCGCCCATCGAAAGTATTTCATCCGAGTGGATACATGCAGAATCAGGTACTCACCGATAGCCAAAAACCCGCAGGAATCAGTTTTCCCTAAGCCGAAGCTCGCATACCTGGAAAGACGAAGGTCAATAAGCGACACGTCCGACAGGAAACGCTTCACGAGGAAGATCAGCCAAGGCTGAAACTAGATAAACTTGTTATCCACATGTAGTTTCGGTATGGTTGTATGGTATGAAGTGTTGTATCATCACTAAAGACGGACTCGAAACGGGTGCTCACCTACAGAAAGCTTGAGGACATAGAGCACGATGAGCAAGACGAAAACTTCGTAGCGAAGAGACCGCGTCGTGGCGGTTGTCTATGGCAATTCGATCTCCGCTCGAAAAACGCGACGCGCGGGTGGCTGAATCGAATCGATGACCGCGTCGGGCGCCAACGATTCTCGCGTCTTCTGGTGCCTTCCGGTACAGTGCAGGTTGTGCTCGAGTTTCTGCTCATATTGTATTTGTACTCGTCCGTTGCTCTTGCTTGTATCTCCCTTTCACCTCGCATCTGTAGCCATATTTTTCTTACCTCCATCGCTTCCTGCAGCTCTCTCTCTGTATCGGTAGAATTACTTCGCTCCGACATACTCGTGATATCAAAACATGGAAAGCCTACTTCGCTGGAGTATTGCCAACTCCACTCCTCAGGACGCCAATCAGCCACCACCACGGCCGAGGACTGACCTCGACCCCGGAATCATAGATGCGATTCTCGGGAAGCCGGACGCAGAGCTGATGAAGGAGGCCTTAGCAGTCGCGGTAGACGAGAAGCGCGACGAAGACGAGCGGATACAGGCGTTGGATGACTTCGAGATGGTGAGCAAGACATCGTGCTATCCCTGGAACTCTTCGCTGATGTTCGCTCTGCAGCTCGTTGAGCAGATCGACAACGCGAACAGTACGTGCACATAGCTATGCGGTCTTCGTGGACTCGTCCGTCTGACATCTTTCTGCAGACCTCGAAAAGCTCAGGATGTGGGAGCCCCTCCACTCGCTGCTCACCAGCCCCAACTCCTCCGAAGCGATCCAGATGCAAACCCTCTGGATCCTCGGCACCGCCGTCCAAAACAACCCCGCCGCCCAGAACTCCGTACGTCCCCCTCCTCCCTCCTTCTCCCCTTATCCCATGCTCAACGCTAATCACGTCTCCCCTTATGACACAGTACCTCGCGCTCTCCCCCCTGCGCGCGCTCCTCTCTTTCCTCTCGCCCACCGTCCGCTCGGGCAAAACGCGCTCGAAGGCCGTGTACGCGCTCTCCGGCCTCCTCAAGCACAACGCCAAGGCCGTCGCGCAGATGTCCGACGCCAACGGCTGGGACGTCCTCCGCGACGCGCTCTCCGACTCGGACATCACCGTCCGCCGCAAGGTCGCGTTCCTCCTCAGCACGCTCCTCATCCCCGCCGAGCCCCCTGCGGCGTCGTCCAACGCTCAGCAGCAGCCGGCGAACGTACAACAGCCGTCGCAGATCCCGACCTCCGAGAGCGGGGTCGCTGCTGCTGCGTCCCAGCCCGCTCCTCAGCCTCAACCTCAGCCTCAGTCCCAGTCCCAGTCCGTCACTCTGCACCCAACCGAGTCCTCCTCTACCACGCAGCCCAACACCGAGATCTCTTCACCGCCCCCGCCCCCGCCCCCGCAAGCCGTGCACCCGAACTCGCACGCGTCCATGGTCGCCGACCCGTCCTCGTACGCGACCTCCCCGCGCACGGCCGCCGCGCTCGAGCAGAACGGCACCGTCAGCACGCTCGTGTCCGCGCTCGCCTCCCCCGTCCCGCACGGGCCCGACGGAGAGGCTGAGGGCGACGCCGACTTCGAAGAAAAGGTGTTGCGCACGCTACACACGTACACTGTTGGGTGCCAGCGCCCGCTCGAGGGGCAGGACAAGGAGGCGCTGGGCAGGTGGCTGGACGAGCAGAGCCGCAGGGCGGGCGGGGCGGAGAAGGCCGCAGAGAGGTGGGGATTCACGGGAGAGGAGGTCAGGGAGCTGAGGGAGGCGACTGCATGATGGGAGTGGGATGACGGAAGAGCGGGTTGCGGATCCCCTGCGATGTGTATTTGTAGTCTAATGGCGTAGCATCTCTAATCGGACTTTCTGCCAGCAATGCTTGGGATGGTCGCGAGTGTTGTATGATATCCAAGCGTACCCCGAGGGGGTGATATAATATAGCAGAGACGTGATTCTATCCTATCCTGTCTTACCCTATCGCGTTATCTAAAGTATCGGCGTGAGACACGAACCATTATGTTGCATAGATCCAAAAGCTTGATACCGGTCGTCGTGTCATAAGAGTCCCATCCAGATGTACCGTCCCAGCCACGGAAAGACCGACCGCAGGACGATCTTACTCCGTGGATATCCACCACGTCGGATAAAGGCCGAAGCATTACTGCAGCTCCCGCGGCCACTCCCTGCGCGGCCTCCACCGGCCCTCCACACCAAACCGCGGGTTAACGACGTAGCTCAAGCCGTCGTCAGGACTCTGTCCGACAGGCACTGCAGAACGCAAGAACAACAATGAGCCTCGTCCTCGATCCGCCCCGATCAGCGCAACGAAGCACTCACGGAACCACATCCACACCCGGTCCCCCATGACCGCCTCCCAGTTCCGCCGCCTGCTCCCCAGCCACCACAGGTGGCCCTCCTTCCCGATGCGCCCCCACTCCTCGTCCCACTGCCTGCGCGTCTCCCGCCGTGCCGCGAGCTGCCACCGCGCGTGGAGGCGGCCCAAGACGCGCTTCTCGCGCTCCTGCATCCGGCGCACGCCCATGTGCTCGACGGTCGACATGTTGTCCGCGATGAGGATGACGTGCGTGACGAGCAGCGCGGTCGTGAAGATTGCGAAGAAGCCGGATCTGAGTCACAGAGGTGGGATAAGTCAGCGGGATATATCATTGTCAGTAGCAGGGGAAAGGAAGGGGGATGGTGACGTACAGGGCGATGACGGCGATCTCCTGACCGTCTACGTCGAAGTCTGGTCGGTTCTGCGCTGCGGCGCGCGCGACGAGCCCGATGAGTGTTGAGCATACGAATGCGCAGAAGAGGAGCGCCCAGAAGACGAAGATGAGGAAGAACTACAGCAAGGAGGAGCGCATTATTAGGCTACAAATTCCTATCTGAACCGGATAGGCACGCACTTTGTGATTTCGCGCACCGACGCATTGTCCTACCCACGGACAGTGGTGATCGTACTTGAGGACGCACTGTCGAACAACACGCGGCTCTTTCCGTGAGTGTTGTCCTATGCAGCAACACTAGGCCGTAGGTACTCACGGTCCCACACGCTCGACAATGGTGCGCTCTGAACGGTTTTATGAATCCGTCTTTATGGCAATACCTGTTCTCCGGTAGGAGCACTGGCGTTTTGGGAGGGCTGCGCGTGTACATCATAGGCTTGCGCTCCTGCTCCGTTTGGGTGGCCTGCGTATCCTCTCGCTCGAGGCGCGCAGGGGGACCCGAATCTGCAGTGGCCTTCGCACGCACAGCCTGGACTGGTGCGAGCGTGTCAATCACGCCAACGTTCTCCTCCCCCGTCGGCGCCTTAGCATGGCCTGACATGGGCCGAAACATAAAGCGTGAGCTGTGTGTAGCCTACGAGGCTGCAGACGTTCGCACCGTTCTGCGAGGCCTTCTGCGCGCTGATGGAGCCAGAGATACTCCGCTTGTGTGCAGATTCCGATCGTCTGCGCTGTTTGCGCTCGGGTTGGGGAGGGTTTCGCGCCGCTCCGTACTGCGCCTGGGCGAGGTCAGCCTCACTTTCGGTGTCCCACCACGTCGGGAGGCCTGTTCGGGGCGGGGCGGAGGATTTGTGCACATGCTACGTTGATCGCGAATGGAGGTTCAGAGACGAAGTCGGCGAGAACTTGGATGCGTGCACGTACATGCTTGGCATAGCCCGGGGAGGTAAGGAGGATCTATTCCGGGATGGCATGTCAGCACAAGATGTGAAATTCGAAACGGACGAGATACGAAACGTCAAGAGGGTATCCACAGTAGCCTGCGTGCTGGCAGCATGGAGGTGCAGGGAGGAGGGAGTCAAAAGGTGGGAAAGCCGGTGGCGGATTTGAAGGTGTACATAGTGCGATCTGGAAGGCGTAGATGGCGCTAGCATGCAGATCTTCGCAGACATACCTTCTCAAACGCCCAGATCATCATGAGGCCCAGAACGCAGAAAACAACCAAGAACGCAACTACGTTCGAACGAGATGCCGGTCAGGAGGGCCAGTCCGCAGAAGCACCAATGGATGCGACTTACTGCCAATACTTCGGCTTCCGAGGGCGCTCGCGTCTTGCCTGATCATTGGGACGCAGAACCGCCCGATGTACACATACCACGCATAGGCGATGATTCCTATGGTTATGAACACGGCGAGCTTGCGCATGATCCATGGCTGAGGCTGGTTCCTGCGCTTCTCCGCACGTTCATTGGCCCTCTGGAAGATTCCGATGCACTTGTGTTCCGTGCCAGGTCCATCTTTTGCCTCGCCGTTGCCATTCGCGGCCGCCATGTACAGGCCAATGATGAGTCACTGTCTCAGAGTGGGACGTCGAGAAGACAGAGAGAAGCCGGAAACCGAGGGGAGAGGACGAGGGAAGGGTGGCGGAGCTGAGCTGAGAGAGAGCGCGCCAGGCTGGATGAGATCATCGCCACCTGCATACATCACATCACCTCTTGGGAATTAAAAATGGTCTTGCCGCCGGCATGCAGAGCCCTCCCTCGAGAGTAATAAAAGCTCAACTCAATACTCGAATGCTGCTAGATGAGTTCATGAGTGGATAGGTAGAGATCATAGTCTGCGTCTTGGGGGTGCAACGGAAGATATACCAGCGGAATGATTCAGTCCGCACTCGTATGCCCATTTTGCCTTGATCTCGATCTTCTCACGTCGCGAGGACGAGTCCTCCCTGGTCGTTGTGCTCAACCTCGACTTGCTCTTCTTCTATCTGCCTCGGTCCATGACAGCAAAGCTCAGGTTATATCGGCCTTCCTGGTGCTCACACTGCCTATCCTGATACTATGGGAATATGCAGGCGTAGCAACACTGTCAAACGTCAATGCCCCGCCGTCTGTCACCCGCGCACCATTACATCCGCTTTGGCGTCTCCCCGCCCTGTACCGATCCACTGACCATCCGCAAGGGCATCCAAGATGCTCTCGGGCAGTCTTTCGGGCTCGTGTCCTCTCATACGTATCTCGATATCATCTGGCTTGCGGATGATGGCACCGCGCTCGTTGTCAGAATAGGACCAAGGTACAAGTTTCGTATACTGCCGGGCCTCCGAGTAGGTCGTGTGGACTCCGAGATATAGGTACTGAGCGGTGCTTGTGTCAGCGATGCACCGAAGCTCCTCGCGGCTGTCGCAGCTGCTAGCGCGGTACCAAGGTTGTCCCTGGTGAAGAAGTCAACGTTTCTACCGTCCCTCCTCAGTACCGCTGGTATCTTGTCATGACGCAGGTATTGCTGCGCATTCTTGAGCACGGGGTACGGGAGCAATCAGCTTTTCTAGGTGGGCTTTTCGACTGCTGCTTACGGGTACCCATACCAATCTCATGATTTTCAGCGACCACCGCGGGAGGCAAAACGATGCGATAGGGAGCAAGCCGTCCTGAAGATCTACTGTATCCAGCCATCATTGCACGTGACTGGAGGGTATCACCGAACGGCCTGCGAAGGGCTCCCGATGTGCGATGCTGCAATGCTATCTAATGATCCAGACGTGCGGGTGGTGTGTCCACAAGAGTGGAGATTTAGGCTTCCGCCGTCAGCGCCATCGCACAAGCTCACTGGGCGTTAGAGTGAAACTCAACCGCCAGGGCATGTCGGTCGCGTCGGGAGGTGCTGTGAGGCATGCTCACACCACATTCTCAAGCAGGGGCGCATATAAGCCATCAGGACGCCTCCCATACCCATAACTCTTGAAGTTTTGAGGCTTCGTTCAATCACTACATGGTGGGCTTCATAGTTGAATAATGGCCGGACGAGGTGGAAGTTGGAACTCTCAAGCCAGGAACACTTACCTTTGGAAACAGGGAAATGCCGCGCCACGCTTCCGATCAAATTCAAGCGTCGGCTTCTGCTGCCGGCGGTGCACCCTGCTATTTCAATTGTAAGTGAGCACAGCCAATCGCATCAGGCCTCGCGCTCTTTCCGACCAAGCCGGCGCGCTCTCCTGAGCCTCGCGTCGTCGAGCGATGCAATGTGCAGCATGGGCGGCTGCAACCTTCTTTGTCGCATGTTGTTTTTTGTCGGCGTGGCCAGCTAGCGCTCCAACTTTCCCCTCAGCTCACGTCCTCCTCCCCCTCACTGCTCGGCGCACGCCGCGTTGAATATTTGACCCGTTAGCGATCCGTAGACACCACTATCGCGCATCCTCATATCCTGATCGATACCTACGAGGACTGATGTCGGAGGCCCCGAAGATCGTCGATAACACCGACCCCCACATCCCGTTCTTTATCAACCCGCAGTATGTCAACGTCACGGACATCATCTCGGACCAGGCATACGCCTACGTGCAGGCGGCAATTCCGTCTGCGCACAACAAGTCGGTGGCGGACATCACAGTGCCGAAATGGAGCTTCCAATACCAGTTCACAGGTGCGTATCGATACTCTCGTCTCCTGACAGTAGCCCTCCGTAAGGCAGGCGAACTGACCCTGGCTGCGCGCTATTGTATTCCATTTCACGAAGGGACACGAATATCACTGTATGGCGTGGTCATCCCATGGATTTCTGGGGCGCTCCCCACAGCGCAGTACGCGGTGGACGGGCAGTCACAGAACATCTCCTCGGCCCCCAACACGACCCGAACCCTACTCGGCGTCAACTTCTACAGGTCTGACTGGTTCCCGAACGGCACGCACATGCTCACAGTCAACGTCACGACTGCGACGGAGGACGGCCCCTACCTATTCGACTATCTCTCGATAGACACGACAAACCCGCCCGCTGCCAACAACACCGCCGCAACCAATAGCACTGCTTCGGCAAGTTCATCCTCTACTAGCACTACGAGCTCGAGTTCGTCTACGGCTAGTTCTTCTGGCACCGTATTCGGTTCGTCGACTCATAGCAAGTCGAGCGTCCCGATTGCGCCTCTAGTCGGTGGAGTAATAGGTGGATTGGCCCTGCTCGCACTGATTGCCTTCGGAGCATGGTGGATGTGGAAGAAACATAGGACGGAGGGAGTTTCGACGTACGCATACGCGCGGACAGGACAGTACGGTGAGTTCTTCTATAGGATGCCGAGACACTCACGCTTATATCTTCGCATCTCGGATTCCTCCCTTCCTTTCCCGTACGTTGCCGCCCTCAGATGGACATACACCGCACGTGGACCCATTCACGGTGTACCGCCAGGCAGATTCAGGGAGCACGCCCGTGACGATGGCTGATGGGTCCTACTACTCCGATCCGCCGCCCTGGCCCCCGAATCGAGTACCCACCCCAGCGGCGGCGTCGTCTCACTACTCTTCGGAAGGGCCTCCGCAATCTTCGCATACGCAGTCCGCGCCATCAGGCTCCAGATACGGTATCGGGAACGAGGCTGGGGCGCTCTGCGGCGCGGCGGCTGCAGGGGCGATCGCCGCCCCAGGCGCAATCATGTATTCGACAGGGAGCGCGGGTGGGAAGGCGGCAGAGGCACGAATGGAGGCGCTTCGCGCGCGACAGAGGTCTGTGTCGGACCTGGGTTCCTCGGATCTGAGCGCGGCGACGAGTTCGGTGCCCCCGCCTTATGCACCATGACGATGATGCCCGGGCGCATCGAGGGATGCGCTCGCGCGAGACCTTTTGCTCTTTTGATGATGTGGATGGGTGTGTACCCTGAGGATTGGGTTTGTATAGGATATACCTCGTCTGGGACGAATCATGAGCTTTATGACTACTGTACTTCCCATGTTTGTGATCTAGGTCACCATGATATCTGACATATATTGGGTAGTAACGTGCGCGGCTCCTTTCTTGCTCCGTGGTGTCATGGCAGTCCTCTGTGGATATCATGTACGTCCTGTGGTGTCGAAGGAGTCACAATGCTTACGGGGTGCCTTCTCAGGTCTCTATCAACAACCGAAGCATATCATCGCTGCCCATAGTCTGAGCCCGAAATGAGCGCATGAAGTCGCACTATCCCGGCGCCCAGGCTTCCGGCGCGTTCACAGGCTCGAGAGACTGGACCATCTCTCTTTCCCAGATCATCGCGTGGATGGCAGGACGTCTGCCTGATGGTACTGAACTGGATGACACTGGTATTAGGTCGCTCTGACTGGGCTGTCACCTCAAGCTCATCTGCGAGCGTTAACATCCTCAAGCTTTGTTCTGTCTATCCGCACTACCCGGTTACTCCCTCGATCCTCACAAATTTCCCTGGTCCAAGCGTTCAGCACCTCGAAAGCATGACTGCTACCACTCACTGCTGGACTTGTAGCGACACTTACGTAGACGATTTATTGGGCACACCTATCATATTCGGTCCCCCCGCGGAGGACTACATACAATGTTGGATGCCTATGACTGGCAAGCAGATGCATGGCTTAGCCTTGTTTCCCACATCCTCCATGGTTCAAGACCCGACGTTGGCGGCTTGCTTGGGTTCAGGAAGTAATGCCACATTCCAGTTCCTAGGTGAGCACTATCCTGTACTACCGCCTCGACCTCTATATCTTCTCGTCGAATTGGTTTCAGGACAGCAAGTAGCCGTTTACGGTACCGAGTATGGGCAGGGTGCAACCTCCTCGTATAGTATCGATGGCCAAATCATCTCTAGCCACACGTCCCAAGGGTCAGGCGTTGGCGTTCTCCTCTTCCATTCCGATGTCTTATCGGATGCGATACATACACTCGTCATCAACGTCACGGCGGCTTCGGAAGCTGTGCCGTTCACCTTTGACTGGATCGAGTACAACAGTACTGCACGCGGTGCATCCCAGACAGCGACTATCGCATCCTCAATTTCTACCAGTCTTTCCTCCCAGACTCCGTCCCTCCCCCCATCCACCTCCATGGAGGATCCTCCCAGTGCATCACATAGCTTGGCTACTGGTCGTGCCTCGAAGACGTCAGTCTCCACCGTTGCCATCGTTGGGGGTCTCGTAGGAGGCTTGGCGGGGCTGACGAGTATCATCTTGGCATTGGTCGCACTGCGGAATCGACGACGACGGCGCATGAGTGGGCCTACGCAATACTCTTACGGAGAAGTGGCCCAATACGGTGAGTATCCCCTAGCTATGCTCTCGGTCACTACTGAACGTACTACTCAACTCCTTACAGACACAGATAACTTTGTCGTACCGGAGCTGGGTGCGGAGCCTCCAGCCATAGTAGTCATACCAGCAGATGACACAGTATCTATGCAAGGTGCGGGTCTTCCTGGTACCGCTACACCTTCTCGTCCGCCGGTTGGTGGAGGGTATGGCACAGGGTCTAGAACGAGGCGTACCGGAGTCACAAAGGAGGAGATGGGTTCTGATTCACCACCTGCTTATACCCCATGACAACCGTAGCATGTGCTCGGAGCTTCTCAACTACGGCTTCCTTCTTTACTGCCCTACAGCAATTGATCCTGAGGGCTATGCTATGGTTCACAGCGCTCGGCCTTGGGCGCATCTCACGACGCCCACAATTCCATAGTGTTTGGGACACAGTCTGATCGCCTTCTGTGATACATAACGTGTGAAGCTCTGGCGAAGAGAAAGGATTGGCCGTTGTAGCATGCCCGCAAGCGGTGCAACCATCGATGGGAGGGCGGGGGGCATAGACCGCCTTCTCCTTTCGATATACCTAGTCCATATGTCCTGTACAAACCTACCTGACCACTCTAGTACACTCCATGGCATCCTCGAACGCTACATCCTCGAATACTTCCACTCCACTAGCTATCATCGATGATCATACACTTGATATCGTCAGTATGGGCATCACGCCCTTCAGGCAAAGACCCGGATTACTAGGTGACATGCGGGACGCGGCTTATAACAGCTCGCTTACCATCTCTACTGTGCCTTCATGGAGTGGCACAATTATGTTCGATGGTGAGCTCCATTTCCGCCTTGACAGGAGGCTCCTTCATAAGGGAACATCTCCAAGGAACGTACACACGGGTAGCTGTGTACATCTGTATTCCTCCTGGCCCCATTGACATCCCGAGCACGGCTTTTGCGACATACATCCTGGACGGCATCCCGGCGGGCCCCAGCTACTATGTACCACTCACGGACCGTAACTTGTTTATTCCTCGGTTCGCCCACTTCACATCGGAGGAGATGCTTGCAATCCCTGGAGGAACGCATAACCTGACCATAGAAGCGTCCGCCACCCTCGAGCATCCTTACCTCCTCGACTATATCGTGCTGTGGAACAAATATCTAGGCCCCAATCAAACCTATCCGGACAGTCCTACCTTAGTCTCTACTCTATCAGCTCCCCCGGCCTCCGGGACAGTTGCAAGCACCGGTCAAACTGGAGTTACTCCAGTGGTGGGAGTGTCGAATACCAGCATACCATCGCCTTCGAGCGTCCTCTCTTCCCCCGTCGGTTCAGCGCCAGTAGACACGTTTCCCTCCGCTTCGTTCCAACCTTCCTCAAGGTCCCCTGCCACGTCCTACATAGCCGGCGCTATAGCAGGAAGCATAGCAGCGGCTGCCGCGTTCGTGGCTGCGAGCTTTTTTGTATACCGCCGTCGGAGACGGGGTAAAGGAACAAATGTCCCTACAGACGGTGAGTCTAATCAACGCCTCCTATGAGTCAAACTGCAGGGATAATGACTAACGAGATGCTACAGACAGTTCTAACGAGTGTACATACCCAGATCACCAGCCGCTCATGGACGAAGCACAAAGCTCACGAGTCGGTGCGATGGGCACTGCGGAAGGGCATCTGCACGATTCACCCACCGACACACCGCTAGGGTTCTACACCTCGCTCGTGAGACATGAGACTGACCGGGGGAAGGTCAAGGAGATTCACTTGAAGCCGTCTCGGTCTGATTTGAGCGACTATTTCGGCTCACATCCGGACATGAGCATGGAGCCTCATGTTATCACCGATGACGCTCCGGCGGAGACTCTCCCATTGTACACCAGGTCGTCCGGTGGAGAGTCTTCCCAAATGCTGGAGTAGGACATTGTTCGTAGCCATTGTGAGATTACAGTGTACATTCCGGATACATATCCTACATTGTGTAACATGCTCAGCACATGGATGGATACGTGATACAATACAGTGGATACACGACGAAGGGTCCATACCAGGGATCATACATAACATCGATCGCAAGCTGCGTTGGCGGCGACGGACGTAGGAGGTTCATCTACGGCGGCTCATCACGAAGCACCCCTCGTATCCCAGGACGTCAGGAGGGCTCAGGGTATCCCTCCAGCGTCCCGAGAGGTTCCCTTCCGCGTTGCCCACCATGAAGCCACGGTACAACCACCGCCCTCTGTCGCCATCGACCTTGGGAGCGCGTCAGCAGACACATCGATCGCCAAGTACATTAGCGACGCACGTATTCTTTCGACAGGCTGATGAACCCGTCGCACGGCCTGATGCGCCCCACGAGGTTGAACTGCCCCCACGCCGAATGGCCCTGTGGATACACGTACACGGTGAGAGACACTCTCATGGACCCACAACGCGAAGGCGTACCTCTCCCGTGATGAACACGTCCACGAGCCGCCCGCGCTGCTCGGCCGGTGTGTTCCGCACGCTCGCCCAGCTTCTGTGAAACACCCGCTCCGGGCGTCCAGGCTCCTTCACAAAAACGCCCTCCGAGGTCTCCGAGATCTGGGTGCCGTTGGGGATGTATCCTCGCAACGGGTTGCCTGGGGACACAGGCCAGACCTCGGGCGCGTCTGGCTCGTCTGAGGCATAGAGGTGGTGTTCGCGTAGCTTCCACAGGTGAGGGTGGTGGGCGACGAGACTGCGTTGCAGGACCGTTGGAGGGGCGCCTGAGAGCAGCGCCGCGTATGCCGTAAACTCCGTGTACTAAGGGGGCACGTTCGGTAATGAGAATACGTCCCCGCAGCATGTCATGACGCGGTTGACATACCGTGAAGAGCCCTTCCCAGACGCCTTCCAGGCTTCCGGAGATGAAGGCACCAGAGAAGGCGGTGCCCAACGGCTTCGTCGTGTCCGCCAGGTGGAGCCCTCTCATCCATTCGGCCTCCCATTCCCGGCTGGAGGCGTTGGCAGCGAGAGACGGCGGGGTCGCGGAAGGCGGCTTCATGTAATGTATGGTGTCCCAGGAGACCGAAAGCTTATTCGCCAAAGTCAAATAGGCCAGGATCGCGGATGGGGCGGGCGCCGGCGGTGCCATCTTGACGGAAGTGCCGAAATGCTTGATTGCAGACGCTCCTCCTCGGGCCCGGCTTGGAGGGGCGAACTCATTCCACGGGGGCTGGCAGAGGGGGTACTGAACCACTATATTAGAGTGAAGCGGAGAAGTTGTACTACGTATGTGCGAACCTGGTGTGCGCCGAGCGCAAAGAGCTTCAAGACGCTGGACGCTTCCCTGAAAGCGGTATCGTCATCCGATATGTACTCATCTATTGAAAACGGAGTATGAAGAGAGCGTTAACAACATGACCCTCCACAGACATCATCAGCCATCTCGTGTGTAAGGAAGAAGCAAGCGCCTCCATACTGTGGCGTATGGCATGTCTCATCGCCGAGTCTTAGAAGCCATAAATTTACTATGCATGATTATTTAGGCAGGTTGAGACCGACGACATGTGGTACAAAAGCGATGGAGATGTCATTTGTTACGGATTTGCGATTTCTGACGGGTATCGTGAGAGGAACAAGCCGGCGTAGCCTACGGCCTGAGACACAAGCTTTCGCCACAATGCCGGGAACAGGCAACGAAAATGGGAAGCATGAAAGCGGCGTACTCACCAGGCTTCAGCATGTACCAGAACAGCCATAACGCTAGGGCCGAGCGTTCGTCATTCGGCGGCCACAGATCTATTTTGACCGACCAAGCTGCGAGGGAAGCTCCGGTGGGATGGAAGAGGAAGTCCTTGAGCCAGACATCAAACCTTGCGTACTCCCGGAGCTGGAGGTCGTTCTTGCCGTCGTTCTCCAGCATCATGAGGTACGCCATCCACAGGATCGAACGAAGGGCGTCGCGGTGGGTAGGGCTGAGCGCGTACGACGTCGCGAGACAGTCCGTGCGGCTGCGGATGCGCTTCAGGAGCGTACACCTGAGCTTGAACTCCTCGCATGCCTCCGCGGGGCCAATGGCTCTGTCCTTCTCGCCGATACGCCATGATGGACATGCGACGTCGAACTTGAACGCGAAGATGCGGGACCAGAGATACGGGTTGGAAGATACTGAGAGCACGGCGTGTGTCCGGCGGTCGACGCTGAGGAGCGCTGTGATACCTGCCGGTGGGCCGAGGAAGCCATCCGTCGCAGCAAAGAAGGCGATATGCTCCAGAACCTCCTGGGGAATGGTGGCTAGAGAGGACATGGCTGAAGGTCGACTGAAGGTCGTCAGAGACGATGTCCGAGGTAGTCGGAGAAGGTACAGAGTCAGATCCACCCAAGCGGAGATCCAATCAGCCGCTCGCTCCAGCTCACAAGCATGCAGGTAAGAGCAAGCATTCAAGATTCTTCAGTCTACCGTGTGCGCAAACCAGGTGATCCCGATGAATACTATGCTACAGAAGCCAGCCAAGAGTGAGCCGCTACGCTGAGCATCCCCGATTTATTCTATGACCATCAACTCAAACCAAAGCGTCAAGAGTGATTTTGCGGACTTTGTCACTATGAGCACAGAAGACGACGGAGAATGTAGGTGCACAATATAGCCAGACTAGAGACACTATGTATACATGGAAGACCAGTTGGCAAAACTCCTCAATGCGGTCAACGGATGCCCTTTTTCAATCGCTATCGCTATCCGAAGCCGCAGAACGTACCGGTTCCGAGTGCTCGAGTTCTATCTCTATACTAAGCACGTACGTCCTCGTTTTTTCGTTGTCCTGCCTGTCATCCACGGGCGCCGCAAGAGGCTGCGTCGGCGTGTCAGGTCCTGCGTGCATGTCCTGATCCCCGGACTTGTCGCATACCCTTCCATCAGGATCCCTCCGCCTCTTGTGTCTTGGAGCCCTAGTGGGTGAGTCTGTCGTGAGGGTCATCCTGAGTCGCATTCGCCCTTCAGTAGCTGAAGTGACCTCTTCCACTCTAGAGGCGACGCCGTGAAAGAAATGCCACGACTCAACGTGCTCGTCGTTGTGATCTCGTACGGGCAAGTCGGAGGGACGTGGACTATCGGCTCCGTCGGATGAAACCCGGACGGTGAGTAGACCCAGAGCACATCCGCGTTCACATTTGCACCGGCTGACGTGTATGCGAATCGAACCGAGTCCTCCGTTCCTCGAGAGCGTGACGACCGAATTCGAATCATTCTGCGCTACTGAAAATCCCAGCATTGAGAGCAACTTCTGATTCCAGTCGCTGAGGCGCACTTCGAACGGCCCCGGAGCCTGGCGCAGGGCTGAGTAGAGAGATGCGTTATATTCCAAGTCAATGATTGTACGCGAGGGATAGTGAGGGATGTAGACGTCGGTCATGGTCCACCCGGACGAGCGTTCGGCGACTTCAGAAGCCGAAAGGAAAACTGTGCGGGTATACTGGGCGAGAGGCTCAGGGTCAGCCTCATCCACAGTGCTGGGAAACTCCTCCGTGGCTTCAAGGAGGCGAGCACTGAGATGACGAGTGCCCACGAGGAATTCCGGTTCTCCGCCATGCTCCTTGTATGGCCGAAGAAGTAGAGCAAGAAAGCCCTTGTCAGGATGTTTGCACCCCAGAAGCGCTAAATGAGTGGGAGAGTCTGGGTATGAATTCCGATGGGGGAGAGGGGAGAGGGGTAGACGAGCATGCACGCCGTACTGTGTGAGCTCAAACGCCTCGTTCGCTACGGGGATCTCTAACTCCGCAGCTCGTCAGGTGTGATGCGATCCAATGCGGAAGAGCCTGCAAATTCATGCAAAGATGATGCGAGCATGAATTGTGCCGAAGTTGGTGCATCTGCGTGAGGAGACGAGGAAGAAGAGCCGCCGAGCCGGGTTGCCGATATATGATCGTAACAGGGTCCCCAAGTATACAAAGTCTGGTCGGAGTTCGCTTTCAAGATCTCCTCTTGGAGACGGATGAGGGCGTAACGGCCTTCTCCATAGGCGACGGGGATTTTGACACCTACAATGTCCATCAAAGAGTAGGCCTGGTCCTCCACGCGTGTCGTCGTCCGGGCTGCAGCCCAGGAAAGCCGCTGTGTGATGGGAACGTCCGCCAGTGGTCGTTCACCTGCGAGGACAGATCGTGGGATTCCTGTTGCACGTTCGACCAACGCGAAAATTTCGGGGTCATCCTTCGTGCCAATCTTGATCCAGTCCTTGGACACGAAGACGTGCTTCCGTGGAGCAAGGAGTTCCTGCAGGGTCCACCCCCGATCGAACCACTCGCTCTCCGCGAGCTCCTCCCGCCAGTTCGTGCTGTGGACATCGTGGAGGAAAACATAGCAGACGGTTGAGTGAGCATACCAGTCGTACATCGCAGGGATGGCTTCTTCCACCTCCCACGGGTTGCTCTTGTCGATGCAGCAAGTATCTGCCCAGCCGTATCGAAATCCGTCCTCCCAAGCGAATGAGCAAAAATGCCGGAGCTTCTCGTCAAAGCGGCTGAGAACGGCATCACCTCGCTCGGCCTGTTCATTATGGAATCGGCAGATGTCTTGATAGCTCTGCTCCGAGAGAGAGCCTTGGGCTTGATTCAACCATCTGTGGGATAGGATGGCATAGTGGACGCTGTGCGGATCGCTCATCGTATCGAATTTCCCCGTGTGGGTCTCGATAAGGCGGATTTTCGGCTAAAAAGACATGAATGTATTGATATGACGAGAACCTTCATAGTTCACTCACACGCTGTTCCACGTCCAGGTCCCCGGTAGCGGATGCTTGACTCGACATTGGGCCATCCGCATTTGATTCGCTCTCCTCGCTGTCTGACGCACCAGACCATGTGTTGAAGTGATTCTTCGGCTTCGGGAAGGAGGACACTGGCCGTCCAAAGAAGTTCTCTGAGAAGCGCCGAAACTGAAGGTAGGAGCGTGGACGCGAGTTCTTCTTGAACCAGCGCAAGTTTTCGATCATTGGGTTGGGCTGTATATGGACAAGCGGGTATACGGACTTCATCACCGGGGGATGAGAGCAAAGGGCCCTTAGGTCATTCTCTGACAGATAAAGCAGGCGGCTATAGCAAGGTCCGTCCTCGTGGTCATGGTACAGTGATCTGTCTTCGTGGTCATGGTACAATGGTCCGATTACCCGTACTGACTGCGAGTCTGAGGGCACCACAGGCAGACCGAACAAACCAAGTTCCCCACGCCTCGTGCAAGGCAGGAGAGCAATGTGGATACCATCGAAGACCACGGTAGGAAGTATCATATGACCCGGTGGATGCGTGAATGTAACCGACGCATATAGCTCGCTCAACGAAGAGCCTGAGATGCCGAGTTGTCTTGCGAATGTCGGGAGAGAGAGACTGACCCGATCGGGTTCACTGCCCTGAGAAGCATAGAAGTGGTGACGGTGACACAGCAACGAGGACGTGTTAGTGGAATCAGGGGTTTGCAAGCAAAGGTGCGGTATTCTATCGGAGAGGTCATCGAGAGAGATGGATGGTCCCCAGGCAAGGAGTGTGTGATCGGGGCACCGCTTGTAGGCCTCGACCTGGAGACGCCAGAATGCGGTCTCGCGTTCGCCATACATGGGCTGCAGGCCGACGCCCAAGATACCCATCATCGAGTATGCTTCATCCTCTTGGCGGGTCGACTTCCTATGCGACCCCCATGCCATGCGGTTAGCCATGGGAACGTCGTCAACAGATTGCTCCAGTGCAAGGATTTTGCGATCAATGCCTGTGATCTCCTTGACAAGGGACGAGAGCGTGTTCTTGGATCCGAGCAGCGCCCAATCGCGCCCAAAGAAGAGAACGATGCTGGGGGCAATGAGCTCCTGTAATGTCCACTTGCGCGTGAACCAGCGGCTTTCTATGAATAGACCGTTGTGATCGTCTAGAACGTCCGATAGGTAGACGTAGCACACTCTGGCGAGGCCGTACCAGTCGAACATGGAGTTCATGATTTCCACCAGCTCGGTGTGGTCTGCCTTGTTGATGCAGCAGGTGTCTGTCCAGACAAGCTCGAAGCCGTCATCACGTGCGAGCTCGCAGAAGCGGCGGATCTTCTCGGGGAGGGAAGAGAGAACGGAGGGGCCACAGGGAGGAGGGCCACATCGTTTCTGGATTTGGCAGACATCCTGGTACGTCGGCTCGCCTTCTAGGTTCCAAGTATGGGATAGGATGGCGTAGCGGACCTCTCGAGGATCGGTGACCAACTCGAACTGTCCCGTCTTCACATTGAGCAGTCGCATGCTGTGCTTGATGACCCGTTACGGTCTGTCGTTTGCAGTATACAGCTTATGGCACTCACAGTGACGTTTCTCGGTATGAGCGGAACACATGCAAGACGAGAACTCCGCTTTTGCGCTTCGGCTCCTATGCAATGGTTATCAGTTGGAAACAATACTTGCAGCAAGAAGGAACCTGACTTACGGAAAAGACGGAGGAGAAGTGAGGGGCAGCCGGACTGACCCCCGAGCCTATAAGAGGGATGCGGCCTGTGACAGACGCTGCCTTAGAGACACCATGAGTAGTGTACGGGGCAGAATAGTTTCGGCCTCTGGCAAATGGCAGATTGGCAAATATGGCAATTGCCAGGGCCGGCAAATACTGGCAGATCAACGGGCGCTCCGGGGAGCCTCTGGCGATGGAGAGTGATTAGAGCTATCCATTGAGGCCACAGAAAATATCCGATGCTCTTTAGTGAAGATTTAGAACATGAATACTGCATAGATATTGCTGTCTATCCACTTCCCGCAACAGAGTACACTCATACAGGTGATTTCCCATCTAGCTGAGAGTTTCAGCCCATCAGTCAGGCGCCGGGATGACTTCTCAAGACAAGCTAGTCAATAAGGCGGCCATCAATTGTCTCACTCATAACACATACCGCTATATTGAAACACTCCCCAGAGTATAGAGTGGAAGGACTGTCTCTTACTGAGCTACTCTGTCTCTGTGGGCGACCGGTAACGGCTCCATTAACAGTAAGCGCTCGACAAGCGCCGTGTATCTGCCACCAAATTGCCGGTCTCGGTGGCGGGCAAAATGGCAATTGCCGCTTGGCAGTTGCCTCTGGCAGATTGGCAGCGTTCTGCCAAGAACACTAACCATGAGGCCCCCCTTAATCCCGAGTCAATCGATAGTACGCGTGCGTGCCACCGTTGTCCCGTGCATATCGCATTCCTACGCTTCCACGATTGTCAGTAGTTTCCACCAGCGTTGGAGAGCCAGCTCGCGTTATCTTTATCCAGACACGCAGCATGCAAGACCGCACAAGATGCGCAGCGGCGTCGAGCACAGGGCTTGTACCAGATCGAATGTATTCGGCGTCGCTCCAGGCAACCCACTTTCCGCGCAACCCTCACTTGGCCTACGAGCCCGAGAACGATGGTGAGTCGTATTATCGATTTGCTTGTACCCAACCTCAGGGCTGCTACAAGCCGTATCGACGCGCACCGAACGCTGAGTTGACGCGGTGGCCCAGCGCCATTGCAGGTATTAGGTTCTGCTGTACAGGTCGCTTTGTTTGTTGCCTCGCCTGCAAACATTTTCCCACGGCCTTCAAGGCGCCATCGATGAAGCCTTTTAACGCGATTGAACGACTTGGCCATAGCATTCAGAGCGGAAAATATAAGGTTTAATAGCAGAGGAGCGAAGTCGGTTTCCAAATGGCAGAACGCCGGACAATGAGGCATCCCACCTGACCTTCCGATGCGGCACGGACATGTCGCCGGCAGTATAGCCTTTACAGGTCAAGAATCTATCTCAGAAGACACGCACGACTCAGTGATACGTCCTGATACAATTATTGGGGAACGACGCACCGTATAGAGTGCTTCTATGGGCGCTCAGGGACGCCCCTCGTCGGCGTCAAGCACGAGCCAGCTGCATAGGTCGTGCCAGCTACTCATGCGAGACAACAGGCATAGTCGGGTCCTAGGGACGACTGTCCCCTCGAAAAAGACCTGAAAGACCTGGTTTAGCGGTACGGGGTATGTGAGGACTTGCAATGACGCAAAGCGGGCTCAAACGGTGAAGGCGAACAAGTTCCTAGTTCCTAATACTACCATAGACAATCAGGTGAGCTACAAACACAGATAGCAATACTATAGCTTGGTCACAAACGAGAAACGGAGCGCAGGTGTATCCATGGCAAAACCCGTCATGATGCAGGCTTGGCGGTGCCATTGACCGTGACCTCCTCATCGTCACCGATGTCGTCCGCGGAAGGGACCGCCGCCGAGTTGGCAGCCCCCGCGGCAACGCCTCCTCCAGCTACCGGCGGCGCAACATCCCTGTGCCGAGAGCGAATGTGTGGTGAGGACGAGCGATTGACACGCGACCAGCAGAACACACGACGACGCACCACTTGATCTGAAACCTGGTCACCCTCGGCTTCGTGTTGATGTCGCGCACGAGCCTGTCGAAGCGGATCGGCTCCGGGAGGGCGTCCTTCATCTCCTCGTTGTCGTACTCGGTGTTCTGGTAGTAGCCGACGCGGACGAACTCCTGGTCCTTGTACGAGCCGGTGAGGATGAGGGCGGCGACGCCGAGGACGTCTTCTGGGGGGATCTTGGAGGGGTTCGGGGCGGAGCCCTCGAACTCGAACGCGTTCACGCCGACGGGCACGGGGCCGACTAGACAGTCGTCGAGCTCCTGGTCGAGCTCTTCGTTGCCCGGGGACGCGACGTAGATGAGGCGCCATTCCAGATCTGATGCACGTTGTAAGATAAAAAAGACTGGTGAACACAGACGGCGTACCTTCTGGGAGGGGAGCTATGCATTCGAAGGTGACCCTGAAGTGGTATGGGTCCAGGAAGCGAGCGGGGTTGTTCAGAAACTCGACATTCTGCAAGTTATATGAGTAGCGTCTCGGGACATTTCATGCAGTCTGGCGCACCCTGATCGTAACAATGGACATAGTAAACTGTGCGAGTGGATGGGAGGAGGACGGGCGGCGGAGGAGGCGGAGGCGAAAGCGGAGGCGGCGATGGTGGATCGGTGGCAAAACGCGTGGCCACCAATCCAAGACGCGTCTAGTCACAAACGCGTTACGCCCGCATACAGGTCACCACGGTCACAAGCACCATATCGGGAAAGAGCGCCTTTGCTTTCGTTGTATAGCGGTAAGACGCCACTATGTACTTAGGCGTCGCTGAGTTCGAGTCCACTAGCTGCGGCTATTGCTTTACCTTTTACTTTCTCTCCACCGTCGTTCTGTTCTAGCTCCTGCCCTCTGGTCTTGCATCTCTCTGATACCCACGGATATTGGCTGATCTTGCCTAGCTACAAGGAGGCTAAAGGACGTAACGGACAGAAGGCTTTCTTGCCTACCATCATCTGCTTGCTTTCGACCTGACGTCGTCCACTCGTTTGCTCGATCCTAGATTTGTGGCCAACTATTGGAGATGGCTGGGAAAACACTCAGCAACGGGACGCTAAGTCTCCGCTTCATGCAAAATGCCCAGAGGGCAAAACTACAGGCCCAGGTCGAAGTGGAGCAGGCCAAGGTCAAGGACGACGCCGAGTGGTCTGTCTCGCAGGAAATCCGAGATGCATGGGGATTGGGCGAGTCTTTGAGCAAGCAGTACGTCCGTCACATTTCCGCATCCATGGCTGATGTAGATCTGTCACTCCTGCAGGGAAGACAACGTGCACGAATCTTCATATCTGCCCTTCATCTTCCAGTCGGACAAGGGTGAAGGAACGTCATCTGCGTCTCAACCAGACGGCAGACCCGCTTTCCGGGGCCGTCGGGCGTTCAACGCCAAAGGCAAGGAGGTCGTGCCGGAGCCAGTGAGCGCCACAACCGTCCATCCTGCCCCACCCTCCGTCTAACCCGACCGATACGCCCCATCTCCCTCTTCCTTCTAGCCCAAGCCCCAAGAACCCGGCGAGATAGAAGAAGAGGACGCAAAGCCGCAGAGACTACGCTCCAGATTCGAGCCGCTGCCCACGTCGATCTCCGGCTTCTCAAACGCCTCTCTCGTCTCCACGAGAAGGGACGGCAAGAAGGCGGTGCGCACGAAGACCGCGCAGGAGCTCGTCCGCGAGAGCGCCCCAGCGCCCTTCCCCGCCTCCTTCCTCCTCGAACAGGACGAAGACGTTAAGCCGAGTCCCGCGTCCGCGTCTGAGGCATCGGCGATACCGCACGGCGCGGGGTTCGTTAGGCCCGCGGGGGTCGACGCGCCCGGCCCCCCGGGGGCGCGCAAACGCGACAGGGAGCAGGGATCTGGTGCGGGAGCGGAGGGGAAGAGGCGGAAGAAGAAGAGGGAAGCGAACTCGTGAGGCTGTCCTGGTCGCCCGGCGTTCGTCTTCGCGGTCGTGGTCGCGTTCTCCGTGCCTCTATCTCCGCACGCCCTCACTTCCGTTTTGCCCGTCTACGGTGGTCGGTGGACGTAGTAGAGGCGTGCTTTCCGAGCCACGCCCGGGGCGCTCTATACCGGTGGCGTACAGGATGGGTTCCATGCCAGGATTTGTGTTTCTTCTACTGAGAAGCCGTGTTTGTTGTTTCGTTAGGGCGTTGGCAGAATACACCGTGTGCGTCATCCGGTTACCTCCTTCCCTCTGTGGCCGATGTGTCGCGTGGATCACTGACTTTCCCGCAGGTGTGACTGATCCGAGGACATGTGATCGGCTTGTGGTTCTGCAAGCTAAAGAGGGAGGACCCAGGAAGAGTGCTGGTGAGCTGTTCGTCTGTCGAGGTCAAGAGGCCTTCGCCGCTTCGTAATGGTGGCATACACCCGTGTTAATGCACTGTTCACGAGACGTCGTCATATGGGCGTGCAGGTGAGCGTGATGGTCCGCACAAACACCGTGGATCGGTATTGAAATTCCTACGTCCTCAATGATGAGTGGAGGTCAGAGTACGCGCGATCTTAAGGCGATTCCGTTCGCGATTCTGTGCGGATCGTGATTTTTCGTATCGCAGTGAGATCGTAGCCTACTCTGGCCTCCATATATCGAGGGAAGATCCTGGGAACGATGGTGGTCGCAACTCTGAGAAAGACTTGGGGGACGCAGCTGAATCGCGGACAGTAGGATCACGAGTCTGGAGGCAGAAGCTCCTCCCGAGGGACTTCTGCGATCTTGCGCGATGATGCCCAGATTGCCTCCAGATCGTCCTCCAGAACCGTCCCAGGATCGTGCCGTAGAAGTGCATTGTGACTACGCCTAACAATTGAACAATGAGCAGAAACGACCCCCAGTTGTGGAGGAACGCGGCAGCCTTCCACTACAGGCCGATGACAGAGCTTGAACTCCATCCACCCCAGGCGCGACTCGTCCTCCTTCCAAGCGGTCAACCCTGCCCGTCGACTCGTCCGATTCTTCTCCCTAGACCAACGGCCAAATGGGCTTTTCCTCGCCCCGAAGCAGCACCCACAGGCAGAACGCGTCATGCCCGCCATGTGACTCGCCGCCCCGTGTCTTCTACGTATCTCGCGTTCTCCCGCAAGGTTTCCGAAGCGGCTGTATCGCGCCGTCCTGCTGGCCAAGATCCGAGCCGGTACGCCTTCCATCCTTGCATCGTCCATTTGGGCAACCCTGCCACTCACTCATGCACCGCGCACCGTGCATCCTGCCACTGCATCTCGTGCCATGGTTCACGATCCAGCCCGAACACCCTCCTGGATGGCGTGGGGCGTCGGCGGGTCACGAATCAGATCAAAGATCCTACAACGACTCTACGTGGACCCGGCAGAGCCTTCGCGTATCGGCCTCATGAACGCCACAAAACCCAGTGTCGAAAGCCCGAAGGCCGTCTCCTGCGAGGGAACACGCAGGGTGCGGCGCGGAAAGCCTTCGCGAGCGCGATCTGCACCGTTGGATCGGCGCGAGAACGAGGACGCCGGGGACGCGCGAAGGTGGGCGAAGCGAAGCCGGGCGAAGCGGTCCTCCGGAGGGCTTGGGTGGTTCTATAGCCCGGGTAGTGTCGATTTTCTTATTTCCTTGCCCTTGCGAATGGTGCGTTCCAGTCTCGCGCCTGTGTGGATTTGCGGTGCTTTGCGAGTCTTGCTGAGAAGTCGCTCGAATGGCTTAGTGCTGAGCGTAGAGATGCTTCGCGATCAGAGGCACGTGTGTACGGCCGGTGCTGCTCATTTCTCATCGCGCTTCTCGGGTGAACTTTTACACAGACTCACCGATAGCGCATTCACAGACCCTGCGCGTTCGTCCACCGTCAAGTGCTCAGGCAACAGCACACGCAGCACGATCTCATCCCTACGTGACTGCGAACTTAAAACAAGCTTAGCAGAGCATAGACTGCGAGCAAGCCTGGTGCTCGCAATCTGGCACCTGGGGCTTACGGACACTCGGCGACCCGGGACGTCGGTGTTCCCGCACGTCCCAAGATATCTAGCGAATCGCAAGACCTTCGTCCGCCCAAGCCCTCACCAATTCCTCTCAGGTGTTCGGCGTCCGTACCGGGCACCCCTCTCGTGCCCCGTGCTTGGGTACGACTGGTGTGTCGCAAGAAGACGCGTTAGAGATTAGCACAAGCTAAGCCTTATGACTCCGTGGAGCTCGGTGCGAACGGAGCTTGAGCTTGAGTCATCTACGCCCCTCATACGTGCGAGGTTGTCGTATGAGGCACGCTCGAGGCTCCGTAACCTGGGGTCCATTCATTCCAATGCCTTGTGCCTCGCTGTTGCTCTGTACTCCAAGCCTTCTGACGATCTGCGTGAGGGAGAACGGACCGATGTCTTCGATGATGCGTGCTCTCTTCCACACGCCTTACGCAAATACTCCGCCTTCACAGCGTGTAGACGTCAGTCGAGTAGGGTGGCCGGCGGTGTCTGTATGCATATAGTACAATGGACATTCCAGGGGGATTCGCGGAGTGGAGAGAGGCCCTGCCCAACAAGCTCTCCGAGGTTCCCCAATATGTCCAGGAAGAGTATCCAGTCGCTGCTCTTGTGGGCGTCCCTGACCAACGTTGGTGATACTGAGTGGTCTCTATTCAAAGAGTGCGGAAATCGGAGAATGGCGCGGACTCGTAGGTGGGACCGTGTAGACTTCGACTTTCACGGTATCAGACATCACTGCACGCCCCTGGAAGGCCTTAATGAAATCTTTACCGGTCCCGCCTTCGCGAGCGTGCGTAGGTTCTGTCAACTGAACGCTTTGCATGGACATGCGGCCTCCTTGCTCCAGTGCGCCAGGCGCCGCGGTGTAGCAAGGGCACACGCTCACTGCTGGAGAATGATCGGCGTCGGACGGCCATCGCTGTCATTCCGCCTCCATGCCGTCGCAATGTGGTCGGTAGCATCTTGCCCGGATGGATTGGGGTCTTCGACGCCGGCAGACAGGCGGGGAAGCGCATATATGAGCTCGTTGTCCGGTTCTGATTCCTCCGGTATCTCGCAATAGCGGGAAATCTGCTTGTTGACACACAGCATTCGAATACTGTGTCTTCACTTCTGGCCGCTTGTCTGTGCCATTCGAGTCGGTGATGACAGGGAAATGCGGCCCGAGACGCCTGCCAGAGATAACTCTTGAGTTATTGCTACCCCAAGGGAATTGCACACGAATTGTTTCCACTAGCCTTAGAACTCTGGGGTGTGAGTGGTCTTGCTCGGTACGACGGCGCTTCTCAAGGGACTGATGAGAATGAAAGAACACTGTATCTTCTTTTTTATGAGCTAGGTCTTTCCCTAAAATACGTATTCAGATGACCGGACGATCTCGTGTTCATTCTCATCAACATCCCTGACGTCCCACAGTTCCTGTATGAACCCCTTCTTCGAAAGGTAGGCTCAACTGACTGGAACTCGGGAAGGCATAGTAATTTATCCGTATATCCCCGTTTGAACCCTATGTACTTACTGCCTTCGCTCCTGCGTGCCAGCCAAAGCAGCTCACTGTCCAGGTCTGAGATTCACCGCGTCCTCGGTTGATAGGTACGGTATCTATCATGGTCAAATATAGACCGTGCGAGCCCTCGAATCGAGGGCGCTAGGACATTGAGAGCAACATGGTACGTTCCAAGACGATATCCAGACCGTGACACCCTTTGGACCCGTCTTCCTCAGGTCACGACTAGTTGGTTCTGCGGCGCGTTGGACGCACTCTCACCATCGGCACGTCTGTGCCTCCTTATCACCTCACGACTCGTCCTAACACCGCGGACTCCTCACGCGCCCACGTACGGGTTTCGAAGCTTCGTCGTCCTTCGCCGGCTGCTAAGCTTAGTGTAGCTACTGTGGCGGGTCCGATGCTCGGAGGATCGCAGCCCGTTGTAACTCTACGCTTCGCTTCTGGTACCGATCATATCAGGCGTATGATCGCCTGTACAATGGATGGCTCCCATACGTCAGCAATGAAGAACCTCGCAGTAGGTCGTATACACAGGATGAGACGAAGGGATCCCACCGGCGAGAATACGTATCATGAGCGCTGGGAGCGAGACACCGCTACTGACGCCCTAGAAGGTCTCTGTGAGTACTCATAGGCGTCTCAACCAGAAAATCTTCAATGAAACGATGCAGTGTTTACGTACCTGGCGCCAATAGAAGAGGTATCTTGTTCGCCAAAGGGTGCTGTAGAACCTGAACCTCTTGGATACAGTGGTGTCTCGCGTGCAATCAGGGTCGCGCCGTGCTTTCGGGGTCGGAATAAGCTGGAATGACCCGGGCAAACCAGCCTATGCCGGTACCGGCGCGTAATGCATAAGTGTATGCCAAGGAAACGAGCAAGTTCAGAACCAGCGGGCGGGCTGTTCGGTATCGCAATGATGCCCTAAATGCAATATATGCGGCTTGCCCTCCAAGAATCTGAACAATACATGCTTTGTGGGCATCCTTTAGGCGATGCAGCAGTGCGGTGGAGAAGAGAAGGCT